TGCTTATTCCATTATTAAAAATAACAAATTCAGAAAGCTAAGTAAATAGAGCAGGCTACGCACGGACCAGGACGAAGTGTCTCACGAACCAAGGATTCTCATTAACCCAGTTCTGTGCACCTGAGGTCCAATTTAAACAAGCAATCGATAACGAGCCTATTTAAAAGGATGGTCTGAGATTTAGATTTCATAATATGTATGCTTTTTCTTACTGGTTTTTTTTTTTCCTCTCTAGTCTTTTTAAACACCACTTTTTCTTCTCCATTTCCATAGCAGGGTCTCCTCATGCAGGTCAAATGAAGGTTCATAAGGGCCTTGAGCATCGGGAATCTGGTTAACCCCCTTGGTGGGTACCAAAGTCTCATTAGGGCAGAAGGAAGGTCTGGGCTGGCTTCCAGAAAGGAAAGGTGCATCAGCACTTGGACACACTGGGGTTTGGGTCGGGGTGATGGTCTTATTCAAATGGGCTGGCATTTTACACTGGACAATAGGAAAGCAGAGGGAGACCCCTATAGACCACCGCTAGTATAAGCCATGGTTCTCACACTCAGAAGGCCCTGCTTTGGGGATGGGGGACATTTTTTATATTGGCATTCGTCTGCTCACCGAACATTCACTGGGCACCAAGTGAGATGCTTTTGCGTGCTCTGGTCGATGTGCCAGGCCCTCAGGGATACAGAACGAGTAGCGAGCGCCTTTTCTGGCTCGCCCACCATGCTAAGTGCTTTGCTTGTGTTCTCTCCTCACCCGCACGGCTCCCTCCTTTGTTGCTTCCCCCATGGGAGCTCTGGCCACCCCCTGTTACAACTTTCAACTGCGCATCCTTTTCATTTGTGTGGCTGGAGACGCTGGGTGTAATGGAAGGGCCAAGGATGAGCTCTGAAGGCAGGCCGTTCTTGGTTCAGATCCCAGGCTCCCCACTGTAAGACTTGACACGCTTGCTTAAGTTCACCCCTTTGAGCCTCAGCTTTCTCATCTGTCAAATGGGAATAGCCAGCCTTATCTCACAGGGCTGCATGAGACTTAAATGAAGCAATTCATAACAAGCATCTTTGATTTCTGTCACATGGTAAATGTTCAGTACATAATCTCTATTATTTTTTTTTCCTTGAGAATAGGGTCTGTAAAATAATTTCTCTTTTTATTCCAGTAGGGCCCAATACCTGGTAACACATTCATTACCCGTCTGTTGAATGAATGAATGAGTGAATGAACGAGTGAGTGCGTGCCCTTTGAGACTGAGAGCGCATGTTCTGCCCCTCTTCTGACTTCTTTCTTGCCAGCCCCACAGCAGCTCTAGGGCAGGTAAAGCTGCCCCAGCTCACATGGACCCACACCTCCGACCAGGCCTTTACTTCTTCTGACATCCAGTAGCTTCCTGAATGGTCCTGAGCACGCGGCTGGCTTCAGAAACTCCTTCTCCTTGAGAATCAGAGGTGCTCGAGCAGGCTTCTCAGGAGGCATCTGGGCCCCGGCCTGCACCAGCTAAGACAGCAGTGGCCCCTGCGCCCACGGGCACAGACAGCCTTCTCATTCCTGGCTTTAATGCCCAGCCCTCACTGCCTGTACGACCCCCCACCCTGGACGCTATTATTTCCTTTCAGGAGCGATGGAAACAGGAGAACAGGAGTATAAGCTCCAAGGAGGAAGGGAGACAGGTGCGTGGACGAGGCACCAACTCCCACTCCAGTTCTGCCTTCCTTGTGCTCTGTGAATTGACCTTTCACCTCCCTGCCTCACGAGCCCCCATCCCCTCCGCATCACTCAGATGAACAAGCCCTGCTCGGTGTGGCCCTGGACTGGGGACAGCGTCCTGGGCCAGGAGGTAGGAGGCTTGAGTGCAAATCCAGCTTCTGCTACTCACTGGCTATGGGATTTCAGACAAGTCACTTTTGCTCTTGGAAACCTCAGAATCCTGCTCTGTAAGATGGGATCTGATCACCCCCCTCGAAGGTCTGGTGTGAGAATTAGCAGTGATATTTGTATGTCGGAGGTGATCTCAAAATTGCAGTTACTACTAAGGATTGTTATTCCACACATTCAGGGGCTGAGGCAGGGTGGAAAGGCCTGGAAGACCCCAGCCCCAGATTTGCGCACCTGTATGTTCTAAAAATAAGTATTTTTCTCATCTCCTTAACTTGCTCAGCAGACAGAGACGCTGCAGACCCCAGAAAACCTCACCCGAGCCTGTACTGTGGGCAGCCCCTGTGGATTCCGCTGCTGGGGAGCAATTTAAGAGGCAAACAAAACATGAAAAGCTACTCAGAATTAACAATGGGGCCAGATGGTAATGCTAGTTTGAAGCAATAAAACATGATAAGTAGCTTCCTGCTGCTATTCCTGATCAATTTCAATATTTAATAATCTCACTGCCACCCGTGCCCCCTCATCTGGCCCCCTCCACAGGCTCCTGCAACGACACCCCGCATTCGGCTCACAGAGCAAACACGTCTTCACTTTCTGAAGGCGTCAGCAGAAAGCAGGCGGCTCAACTGTCACATGAGCGCCATCCGTCCTGGAGATGATAATTCATCTGCCTACTTCTAAGAGGTTCCATCTTCAGCCTCTCCTGGTTGCCAGGGAAAGATGGAAGGGAGCTCCGACGGTGGAGATGTGATAGGAGCTCTTGCCTTGTCTAATCAGTGAGTATTAGTAGCCCCTGAGTTTTGCTTTTGAATTTAAGAAAGGGGAGCAGTAGGGAGCTGGGTGGTCATCTTACTCTGGGACCGATAGCAGGAGGAAGCAACAGGAAGGGGAGGGTGGCAGCTTGGTGTTAAATTCTTACCCACCAGCCGCGCCTCTGAGCCTCAATTTCCTTCTCTGTATGAAAGAGATCATCGTGTCTACCTCTGGGAGGATTCTAGCCCATGCTGCACGTGTCAAGTGCCGGGCAGTGTGCTCAGCATGTAGGAAACACCCAAGACTGGCAGCTGGAAGCCTCATTACCAAACGTGAAACCACTTAGCAAACGATGCCCAAGTCCCAGCAGCTGCAGGAAAGGCTGCTGGTCCCTGTGGGCAGGGAGCTCTAGCCCAGGGCAGACCCGGGGTGAGGGGCAGGATCTGGCAGGGAGCACCCTGCTCAGGATTCTCCCCAAGGGGAGCCCACCGATAAGATGAACTGTCCACGAGGGCCCCACAGACTTTCAGACCCTCCGACACAGGGCACCCCGGAGAGCTGGTGTTGCTGGCACCCTTTACGGAGGAGGAAATGGACAGGACGAGGTGAAACGGCTTCTTGAGCTTACATCGTAGGAAGTGGCATTGTCAGTTCTAAGCTGGGTCCCCCAACCCCCCTGATTTCAGGTCCTCGCCACCCTATCGCAGGAGAAAACTGCTCCCTGAGGCGCCCCCTCTTTGTGTGTCCTTTTTGCAAGGAGGCAGCCGAGTGGAGGGTGGCCCCCTTGAGCTGCAGTTTACTCGGCTGTGAAATGCGAACATTAACACCTACTGCACTGGCTCACAGCAGGGACGTTTAATGAGGGAATATGCATGAGAGCCCGCTGTAATTTTGTGATGAGCTGAACAAAGTCAGGCATGGTTATTATTATGGCTTTTTAGAAAAACCCCCTCTGGGAGGAAAAAGATCAGAAATTCATCCACCGAAGCGGATTCTTCTTACTGAATCCTTCACCGGCCCCACGTGCTCTAGGGGGTCAAGATCAAGCTCTTTCACGTGGCGTTCAAGGCCTCGACAGCTCCTGCAACCCTGTCTCTGCCTCTTCTCCTTTCCCACCTTGCTGCAGACTACCTGGGGTGACCTGAGCCTTTCACGCGTGTCTCTGCCTAGACCAGGGAAACAGCCCTGAAGGATGGGGTGTGTGCCACCCTGTCCCTCAGCTGATCCCACTCGGCTTCTGCAGGGAGTCTTCCTTGGGCCCCCCTTGCTCAGGAACTCCTCTGCTGAGCCTCCTGACAGCCTCTCTGTGCTTCCCTCCATCCTAGCACGCATCACACTAGCTACTGCTATGTCCTCATCTGCTTTCCAACTCTAGAGCCAGTTCCTCCTGGGCCTGAACCAAGTGCTGTTCACTCCAGTCTATCCGGGGCCTGGCCCCGCTTATGCCCTGGAAATGTGTGGCGAGGGATGGACCAACCAACGAATAAGTGACTGTTTCCAACATAAATGGAATCAAAGCTTTAGGCAAAGGATTCCAGCAGTGGAATTAGGATTTGGGTGGGCACAGCCTTGGGAGCAGAAGTCAGGATGGTGCTCCTGAATTCAAACTCAGCTCCATCCCTCCAGTGAGGTCTAGAGCTGATACTGTAAGCAAGCCTTCCCAGGACAGACCCCACCCCTCCACCCCCTGTCCTCCGCCTGCCTTTTGTTTGTAGAAAAACTTTAGCTTCCTAGGCCTTCCCCAAGTTCCAAAAAATACATTTAATCAAAGAAGTGAGAAAATGCAGAAACAAAGGAAAACAGTCAAGCAAAACAAAATAATAATAGTTTAGCCATTAAACAAAGTCAAGGACCTTTATTTCCTCCTCAAGGGCTATAGATAACATTCCGAGCCACGTCCTTTGAGCTGTCTTGCAGACACTGAAGCCCCCGCCAGGTGGAGGAAGTTAACTGCATGCTGCCCACAAGCACGTAGACCCCAGATGGGCTGGAACCAGAAGGTTGATGATGTTGACTCCCGATGACCTCACCACCAACCAATCAGGAGAATGTCCACGAGCTGATCACACACCCCGTGACACCTCTCCCTCACCCTGCTTTTAAAAACCTTTCCCTGAAAGCCACTGGGGAGCTCTGGCCTTCTGAGCTGCCTGGACTCCTTGCTTGGCCCTGCAATAAATGCTCCCTTTCCTTCACCACAACTCCGAGTCAGCAGGTTGGCTTTACTGCACGCAAGCGAACAGACCCAGGTTTGGTTTGGTAACAATAGGATGACCTTCCTCCTTCCCCCACCTTGACCCTTAACAAGAAGAAACAGATAATGTACCACCCATCCCTCTCTGTCCTCCCACAGGACACGGCAGAGGCCAGTCATCAGGTACCTGAATCCCGCTGGTCCACGGTCATGGAGTTCCATCTCCTCGTGATGTCAATGTAGAGGATGTCCACGGCGGCCATGGACAAGCTGCCGCTACTGAGCTTGCAGTTCCTGCAGAAGACAGGAAAGGACACGTCACTGCCAGATCCGACCCGTCCTGTCCTGTCTGGTTTCTGTGCCTTTGCCCGGGCTGTGTTCCCCGCCTGGAAGGCCCTCCCTCCCCACAGCTGGAACTAGCGAAGGGTGAATGGCAGGAAACCATGGGAGAGGAGGCTGAAAATGTAAGAGCTGAGGTCAGATCCTGTGGGTTCCTATAATGTGGTTCATTAGGGCTCTAAAGGGCTGGGAGGAGGAGGGACTTTAGGATGGCAAGTCTTGAGTTGAACCTGGCTCTACCACTTAGAAGCAGATGGCTCTGATTAAACTATTTCCCCTTCTTGAACCTCAGTTTCCTGACCTATAAAACAGGCAGTCTTGATTACAGTCACTGTGGTCTGGAAAGGTGGGCAGGCGCGCTGAAAAGAGCATGATTTGGGCCTCGGACAGACCAGGACTGAAATCCCGGCCCTGCTGCTTTTTCTAGCTAGTATGGCTGTGGACCATTTACTTAAATCTTCGGTGCCTCTATTTGCTGGTCTCTTAAATGAAGATAATAACACCCGCCCACACGGCTGTTGTGAAGAGGAGACGAGGCGGGGCATCCCAAGGCCCTGGCACCTGGTTGGGCCACGACAACTGTTGGTTCCCTTCCCGATCTCTCTCTATTTGCCCTCTTGCTCTCAGAGCTGCAACCATCTAGGCCCCTTCAGAGGCTGCCTGAGGCTGACCTTTCAGTGAAGGCCCTGTCCATTCTGGAGGAATGGGGCTTGCTAGTCAGAGTGTCTGGATGAAAGAATTTACGCTCTCTGTTCAGAATGTAGGCAGCCCTCAGCTGGTCCAGAGGCACTTCCCTCCTGAACCAGATCGTGCCGGGGAGGCGAGTCCCAAGACAGGCTGGATTTGCCCTGGGAACCCCGAAAGCTAGACCTTGGGACCAGCTGTCTGCTTGGCTGAACTACACTGCATGCTGCTTTCAACTTTCCAAGTGTGTCCACATCCGTCGCCCCAGCTATGATAAAGCGGTTCTTTGGTTTCCCATTTGTCATCATCTCTTGCGTGAATAGCTCCCTTAGGAACCCGAGAAGTCGGGGGTTGATTGGCAAGCAGGATTTGGGCATTCCAGAGGCCCCTCTCCAAACCCATGCACACCCCTGACACGTGCCCACGTGTGCCCAGCATGGTGCCTGGACAAGGCTGGTGCTCCTTATATGACAGCATCCTCCCTCCCTCCCTCCCTTCCTTCCTTTCCTCCCAGCCTGTATTCCTCAGGCCATCAGTTCACATCCTGCTTCCTCCTGGGCTCCGGCTCTGTATTTCAATCACAAGTCGCGGTGGCAGCCTTCAAAGCACATCAGCACACAGTTACTGAGCCTCAGTAACAACATGTCAGTGGATGCAGAGCTTTTCATGTCACCCGTCACTGAGACGGCCATCTCTATTGGGTCCTGCTGGGGACCCGCTCCAGTCTCTCCCAAGGTATATTCTAACAGCCTGCACTGTTCATTTCCAAAGCTTCATTAGGAGTGGCTACGGGTTTTCTCTAATTATCGTATCCATGTCCTCTGGACCACTTGCTCCCCACAGGACAGGAGCTCTGCCTGGCTTGCTCTGTGGGTTAATGGAGTATAAAAAGGGAAACCAAACTGACCACTGGTATGTAGTTATTTTTTTCCTGACAGGTAGAAATTACAAGTGTCAAACCTTTAGTAGGAGTCATAATTTACCAAAGAGGATTCTCCATTTATCCCTTTTCCAAAAGTAACTTTCCCTCCCTAGTGATACCTGCAGACACAGTCGATGGTAACATTTGCTGCTGGGGCAGGGGAAGGTGGGATCTGTGCTGGCTGCCGTAGACAGGAAACGCTTTAAAAGAAGTTTGATCCTGTAGGCACTTCTTGGGCACCATCTGTATGCCAGGCCCTTTCCTGCCCATGAGCTCTCTGGGTCTTTATAACCACTTTATGAAGGAGGTGTTCTTAGGCCCACTTCAATGACGGGTAAGCTGAGACTCAAGAGAAGGGACATGGCTTGCCCAAGATCACACGCTGGGATTCACATCCAGGCCTCCCCTGGAGGACAGAGTAGTGGACTTGGGAACTTTGGGGAGAAATGGGGAGGTGGCCCAGCCCAGAGCTTCAGGAAGAGCCCAAGATTCAAGAGACAAAGTCTCAGGTAACCCAGAAAGTCTGGAGCCTCTAGAGAGGCCCTGTTGGGAAGCTTTGGGATATAAGGCTGGGGGGTAAGACAACCAGGGTCACTTGAAGACAGGTTTTCCTAGGTTTATCCCCGTGGTCACCAAACATTCTTAATGCGCTCAAACAGGGAATGTCTCCAAGGGTTAAGATTTTGGAATGAACTTTTCATCCATCCGCCCACTCAGTATAGAATTTGTTTTGTGTGCACTATGTGTAAGTGGTATTCTGGGCCCAGTGAGTGACGCCGGGATCCGGATCAGTCTTGGATACGGCTCTCGGAGGGTAGAAATGATCTCAGAATCTGGGGTGAAAACATGAGGCCTGGTAGCTCTTAATCGTTCGAACAGTTTCCCCTTATGCTCTGGGATGCAGTTCTTCAAATGACTGACGAGTGATAGGATAAATTCTTCAGTGGAAGAGAGATCCAAGAAATATGGTAACATGGGAAGCCAGAAAGATTCCGCAGAAAGGACAGGCTAGAAACGTACATGGAAAAAATGAGCCTTGGAGTCAAAGGCACACGAGTTTGCATCTTGACTCTGCTATGTGACCTTGAGCAGGTCACTGACATTCTCTGCAATCTAAATTTCCTTATTTGTATGAGGATAAGGCGACTCGCCATATAAAGCTATTTTAAGGACTAGCTCAGTGCCTGGCACACATGACAGCTCCCAGCCTTCCTCCATGATGCAGAACCAGTTTAAAGAAAGGTTTTGTTTTGTTTTCAGAATCAAAAGAATACGGGCACAGAGATGGAGACAATCACAAATCATTCAAGTTCATTAGGAGCCTAAGATTAGAGAGATTTGAAATTATCATCCCCATTTTCTCTCAACAACTAGTGACATCTCATGGGAAATTTAGAAACCAACTTTTTCCACTCCATAAAATCCTATTTATAGAATTTCTTTTGTGTTCATCCTTCTCTGTGAAAGAAAAGAAGCTTATTTTTCCTGGAGAGGTTTCTGTAAGGTGAAAACTAACAAATAATCAATATTTGTTTAAAAGAGAAAAAAAAAAACAACCCACTCTCTAAACATCTGATGGGGGCGGGAAAGACAACTTTGGTTTATAATGTTTCTATTTTTAAAGGCTATTGATACCCCAGGCATAAAAATCTCGTGATATTACTGGAAAGAGACCATCACAGAACAGGGGAATTTTCAAAGTCACTGAGGAGTTAATGACAGAGGAGGAGGCAGGGCCCCTGACACTTCCATTCCAGAACATTCTAACGCTCCATGCTGCCTCTCAGAGAATAACACCCCACAGCTACCCATTATGAAGCATATTAATATCTCCTTATGAGAAAAGGGAGTGGAAGGGGGAAAAAAAAGGAAAAAGAGAAAACCATTCTCTAATTTAGAAGGAGACCAGGATTAGAAACCACAAAGGACACGAGTGGGGATCTCCAAGCGGAATGGCCCAGCTTGAAGCAAACACTCGAGGTGTGGAGAAGCTGCCTCCCATTTTCTAGAAATAAACCCCGGTTTTGGCAAACCGTTTAATCTTCAGGCTGCGGAAATGGAAAATGCAGCGTGTGCCAGTTGATGTCAAATTCTGATGTAGGATACGTTCAGAAAACGGGTTCTTAGTGAATTACATAGAAATCCTCCCAAATTAGGAATCCGATGGAAGGAAAATAACACAAATGCATTTCCCTCGAGAAAGCTGCCACACTGAAGAAGCAGATAATTTCTGTGTCTCAGAGAAAGAGATGTCTCCACACCTCAGCAATTATTATGAATTAAAAAAAAAGAGAGAGCAAAGAGGTGCTTAATTCATGGTAATACGTGCTACTGTTATATACCTCCCGAGGAAATGACACGACAAGCTGGTTAGATAGAGTTAATTCTAGACGAGAGGGTGACAGTTCATTATTTCGCATTTCTTGGTGGAAAAGAAAAATAGAATACGGCCAGACTGGCATTAGCATAATTCACTCCTAAAACTGCTGATCTATGCAGCACGTTATGAGAGATGGTCACTGAAAATCAATTCAATCGGAATGTTTATTATTTTGTTCCCTCCAGTTCTCTTCAAGGAACTTGGAGAGAAAGAGTGGGTAGGACAGACAAAAGTCAACTTCAACTTCTGCCCTTTGCGTGGGAGCTCAGAAGGGAGGGTCTCTAGCCAGCAAATATGTCTCTGGCACAGTGCCCCAGAGAAGGGCACTTGGTTTGATTTAACACATGGCATAAATATTATTAATTCATAATGAAGCGAAATTTAAACTGAAGTGGAAAGCAGAGAGAGAATAGTTGTTAGCAAGAGAAAACACGTGCTGTTAAATTTAGCTGGCGAGACGAACACACTCAGATATAAATCTGAAAGCAGAGAAGATCATCTTTTACAACAAAGTTGGCTGTTCGGATGTCTTGGTACATTTGAAAAGGAGAAATCTATTAACAGTTGTGCAATGTTTTCTCCATTTCTTCCTGCATCCTTCATTACTCAGGACACTTGCTGGGTGGGTACAGAGGGAGGGGAGAGGGGCTCACAGTCTGGGTCCTTCTGCTCCGGCTGCCTCTTCCCTACCTGAAGACATTGTCACTTGTCACGGTCACCATCGCTCCCACTAACAGTACTCGGCCACAGGTTGGGAATGACGGCCGCAGGACCTAATAGTCGCTAATGTCACAAAGGTGGGTTTTTCATGCAAACACTCTTAATTATAGAGAACAAAGGGGTGGAAAAATCATAAAGCCTCTCACACAGAGACAGATTTGTAGCAATATTTTTCACATCATCCAGTTTCAGTCTGAGTGCATTTTAAGTATCTTCTTTGCTAGAACCACTCTCAATTCTTTTCAGGAATTTTCTTTTCAACACTGTATATGAACATACCAGTCCTCTTAATATTTACCTCAGCCTCTCACACCAGAGGTAACACACCGGTGGACTCTATGGGCCGCCATGCTTTGATTGAACCCAGAATTATTTTCTGAATCGCCAACATTCAGTATATACATGCATTGATATTTTACATAAAAATCAATATTTCTAGCTTCTCTTGAAAAATCAAAAGCTTTGGTTAATACTAGCCCGGCAACAACCTTTCCTTTTGCCACAGCCCCGCCCCCCTCATCCTTCTAGACCCCACCCACTGGTTTGTTTATCCTTCCTGCCTGCACCCTCCCCCCACCCCATCCTCAGGCAAACTGAGATTGTGATTCTTGTGATATGTAATTTTTTTTCAAATCTCTCCCTCTCTCTTACATTTTAGTAGAATTGTATTAGGAGTTAAAAGGAAGCATCTGACCAACGTCTTTTGCTCTTCCTTCCTTCTTCCTTTTTCCTGCCTGGAACTTGACAATGATGACTGGATTTTGAGCAGCCATCTTGTGACCATACAGCAACCCTGAAGCTTGAAGCACATGCTCAGGGTGGGTAAGCACAAAGACAGAAACTGGGGAGTTGATCACATTGTGGGGTCATTAACCAGCCCTCGAAGCCCCACTGCCAAATTTCCTGTTATATGAGAAGAAAATTAATTTTACTCTTTAAACCATTTATAGATGGGTATCTATTCCTACAAGTCAAATGCAATTCTTAAATGAGTCAGAGGGTATCACGTTAGGTAGTTTTCTCAGGGAAATAACGTGCCTGTTGACTTCCTTGAAAATTCCCTCTGCCTCATGGAAATAATAACAAAAGACTCCCATTTCACAAACAGCTCCCATAAACTAGGCAGCGGGCCAGTTCCTTTATGATATATTACGTCCCAACCTTATAACACTCCTGCAAGGTGGGAGAGATCATTCCCATTTTACAGATGAGGGAACTGAGACTCAGAGAAGATAAGGAATGTGCCCAAAGCCACACAGCTGTTAAGTAATGTGCTTGGCTCTGAAGCCGAACCCCAAAGCTTGTGCTCTTTCCATGGGGTTTTCTTTTCCCCTGAAACTAACACAAAGCCCCTCTCAAAATCACTGTGCAAATATGACTTCAGGTTTGCTGAGATGGCAAAAATTCCTGCTGATACTTCTTCAGGCCACCCTATCAGGAGTATCAGAGCGCTAGAGTTAGAATTTATAAAATTCATTTAGAGAAAAGCATATGACAAATGGTTTCCAATTCAAGACTTCCAATTATTTGCTTTCATGAAAAAAAACTATGAACAGGATGACTTTGTGTTGCCAGATAGAAATATTAAAACCAACGATGAGAAAAACAATAGCAACATGGGATGCTGGCAGGTAGTTCCGCTGAGGTGTATAACATACAATCCTAGGGTACTGATAGTTTCATCTCCATTTTATAGGACCATTGAGGTTCAGAGACTGTCATTAACTTACCCAAGGTCACACAGCTAGTAAGTGCTCCTGTACTGCCCCAAAGTATCCCAGAGGGTAGAGGCAAGTTAATGAATAATCTCGGGAGATTAAGTGGCAATGGCTTATTTTATAGGCTGTGGCAAAAACATGATTTCTTTGTCTCATGTTTTATCTTTAAAATTCATGCAAATTTTGTATTATACTCTGTAATATAACCACATTATTTTTATATTAGAACAAATGTATTAAATTATTTATCAACTGAATTATTCAACTTTTCTCTCCTGAAATTGACACTTTGGAAGATGTGGCTTGTTTCTCTGCTGTGGCTTCATAAAAGCTCAGCACTCAGCCACATACCACTGGGATAACATCACCCCAGTTTTAGAAGCACGAGGTCTGTCTGAGTCCAAGGGGCAATTATTCATATATGAACAAGGACCTAGCTCAGGGTAGCGCAGAATTGTTTTCTAACCACAAACATAACGTTGTGAATACTGTCACATCCGTAACATTCATTAATTCATTCAACAAACAAGAGTCTACTATGTGCCAGGCCCAGTGCCAGCTGCTGGGCCAATCCAACCCCAAGTGGGGCCGTGATCTGGCATCACAGATTCTCCCAGGCACAGTCAGAGAGACGGGACCAGCCAGATGTGGGGCTGGTCTCCACCCTGCCAGAGGAGCTGGTCTCACTGACCTTATGAAGGTACGAAAGCCTGTTGGTCCCAACTTCATTGTCCCCTTGATACCCAGGAACCGGATAAACAGGTTTGCCATCCTGTCCACCAGGCGCAGGTAGTTGAACTGCTTTGCATACTTGGGGAACACCTGCTTGAGGCAGATGGAGGGCAGGTGGGCTTCGGGATGGGCGCTGCCTGCCGAGGCACTGGCCAGATCGCTCTCAGGAGGCTCTTCCTTTGAGGCTAACGGCTTCCCAAGCTGCTGAGACCTGCAGCACACAAGGAGTTAACGACAGAACCAACATTTAGAGCGGGCTTTACAGCACGCAGATTGCTTTCCCTTGCAAATTCTCCTTTCCTTTAGATTTATAGCAACCTGCGGGGGGGTGTATTATTACTATTCTTAATGTACAAACCAGAGAACTGACCTCAAAGAAGTGACCTGCCCAAGCTCACATGGCTAGGGCGTGGCAAAGCCAGAACTTGAACCCAGGACAGAGCCGGGACTAGACACTTACACTTCCTCCGTTCTACCATCCTGGCTTCCCAATATGGACCATTTCCTTTTCCGTACTCATGACTGAAGAGAATACTCTATTATAAAGCAGTCTGGGTTTGATTTCAAACTCCTACTTATGGGTAGTAATTGAATAATCAAGAAATATAAAAATCTCATTGAGGGCTGGCAAGAAGCCACAGACAGTTCAGTGAACAATGTGCAAAGATACAGCAGTCACCCAATTCTAGGAACGGGCACAACGGGATTTTGTGGCTTAACTCTTTTCTTATTTGGAACTCGTACCAAAAAATGATCGCACTGCTGTGATTCCTTAGTCTGGATATTTCCTTCGGAAAAATCATCCTGATACTTGAGAAAGTTCACGGCCACTAACTCTCAGACATGCACCTCCAGCTGGAATGTTCTTCTCACCTCCAGACACACAGATCCAGCTATCACCTGTTCACCCTCCAGGGTGACCCGTGGGAACCTCACACTGACATGACCATTTCCCCTCACCCCAAATCCACACTCCCTGTCTCCTCGAATGTCACCACCGTCTGTCAGTGACCCAAGCAGGAAACATCTGAATGTTTCCAACCCCTCCTCTCCCTCTGTCTCCACAGCATCCTTAATGTTCCCTGGAACCCACTCCACTCTCCCCCTGCCCTGGCCTTGTCTGCTCTCTCCTGGACTCTAACAATGGGGTCTCCCGCCTCCGGCCTTTCCCATCCACAGACCCATCCTCCACATGGCACCTGAGGTGCCCTTTTAAAGCAGACCTGGCTGGGATGCGCACTTCCTACAGTTCTTTGTGGTTCCTGAGTGCCTACATGATAAAGTCCATATTCCTCCCTCTGGCACGCAAGGCCCTGCCTGATTCCCTCTCTGCCCTCCTTATTTCTTGTCATTGCCTTAGACACACCGTACCCTTCAAGGCCTTGACCTCTGCTGCCGCCCCAGTCACGGCCTGGCCTGGACATAGAGACCCATGCTTGCTGGACGCCCAGCCCCCTTCCACACTCAGGCCTGTCTCTGCACCTGCAGCTCACCTTGCTTTCCTGTCTCTTGTCCTGCCCATAGCGAATGAGGGGCCAGGTGTAACCGTTTCCACCTGTGTGTCCATTCCAGAGACAGAACCCTTGTAATAGGGAACAACAAATCTGACTCCACATTGAATCTGTTACTTTTACTTTAACCTTTGTGTTCTCTTGCTTTTGCTACAAGTTAATCACTAAAGGGATGTTGCCTGTAAGCCTAAATGATACATAATGGCCGTCTCTGGGTACCCTGCCTCCCATGTGATGAGTGTTAAGGTAAAATACCTTTGTTTAGCTCACAGGAAACCTCCTGACTAGGCCCACCTGTGAATGGCTGCAGGAAGGAAGAAATTAACACATCCCCTCTGGAGTCTGACTGTAACCAGGACTTTACCCCCTCCCCTTTTAGTATAAAAGAAGCCTGACTTCTAACTCCAGGAAGATGGTTCTTTGGGACGCTAGGCAACCATCTTCTCAGTCTGCTGATTTTCTGAATAAAGGCGCTATTCCTTGCCCCAACAACTTGTCTCTCTATTTATTGTCCTGTCGTGCGGCGAGCAGTACGAGCTTGGACTTGGTAACACCCTGAGCGCGGTGTGAACGGCCAGTAAGTACTGCCCAGCTGGCTAAGAGACCCAGGAAGAGAAGAGCCACATCCCACGGTGCTGAGCTCAATACCAAGGCCATTTTCTACTCTTTTCTTTTCTTTATTAAATGGTCTCGTCCCCCGAGCTCCCACTTCCAAGCACACCGTCAGTCACCAAGCTGGGCTGTCTTGGTACCTTCATACCTGCTTGCCTCAGCCCTTGAAGACTTTCCCAGCCCTGGCTGCCTGGCACATTTCTGTTCCACTTTCAGAACCAGCTCAGCTGTTCCCTTGACCGTGCTGAAGACTGTCTTTCATGTCCCACTCCCGCCCCTTGGACTTCTTCACTCCTCTCATCAACTGCGCTGCACTTGCTTACATGCCAATCCCTCTCACTGTTTTGTGAGCTCGTTGAAGGCAAGGACCACATCTTATTCAACTCTATTTCCACAGGACCTGGCACGTATTAGGTTCTTCGGAAATGTTTCATTGAATTTGTTGAATTGGGAAAGTTTGCTTTTAACAGCAAGGTGAGCTTCAAATAAAACATCAAGGTTATGATGCTTTGTACCCGCCCCATAAGCTCGTTTAAACGGGAAAGAGGTTCGAGAGAGAAACAGCATACTTGACGGCCCTACCAAAATGGTCTTTTCTTTATGCTGGTCCAAGGAGCCAGCCTCCAAGAAAGAGAACCCCCTTGTGTGAATAAAAGGTCCTGTAAGTTCTGTTCATGGTTCCTTCTAAGTGGGTCTCAAAGCGAGGACAGGCAGAACCAGAGAAGCGCAAAGGAAAACCTCCTCTGAAGTTCAACAATGTGGATGGTTCCAGGGAAACAAATGCTCCCTCCTACAAAGAGGAGGGACCTTATTCCTCCGGAGAAGCACTGCATTCCCAGGGGGAGTGGGATGGAGTGGGTGCAACTTCCCTTCAGCTAAACTGGTTTTATCATCACCTCCTTGAATTTAAGACTGTAAATAAAAGTCAGGTGGTTACACTTCAGATGAAATAAAATGTTTTCACATTAAGGTTATAGAAAGAAAGATGAGAAAAAAAGCAGCACTGTTACTGGAAATTAGCTCTTAAATTCCTGGATAAGTGGCAATCACTAACTTCAAAAGCACTAAGTTTTTGTTAAAGAAAAGATTTGGAAATACACAGTTTGAATACACTCCATGACAAAGAAAACGGCTGAGAACTCTTCAATCAACAGAACCGTCCCACTTTCATGATCTCATTTGCTCTTCACAAAACATGTGCAGTAGTACACTGTTATTTTTATACCCCTCTTCCAGACGGAGAAACTGAGGCGCAACAAGGCGAAGCAGCTCTTTGCCTTGGCTGGACTGGAATTACACATCAGTTCTCCTAACCAGGGCTGTTTCCATCTTGCTGCCCTATTATTCCAAAGCACATCATGGTTCACATTGGGGGTTACCAAATCCAAAGGACTGTTATTTATTTTTTGTTTTTAAATAGTTTTTTAAAAATTATAATAGTAATTCATGGTCTTTGTAAGCATTCTGAGAACTGTATAAAGGAATGAGAATCATTTGTAATCCCACAATTCAGGGATAAACACTACTAATGTTTTGATTTTTTATCTATGTTTATTAAGTTAGGATCACATCCTGGGTAGTTTAAATCCTTTTTTCTTACACTTTACATTATATCATAAGTGTCTCCCCATGGCATTAAGTATGCTTTCATGAGCATAATCTCTCATGGACATATAATATTCCATATTATGCCTGAACCATAATTTAATTGGCCATTCCCTGTCAGTCAGATATTGTCTACATGGCTCGTCTTTGACTATATAGGGTCTGGGAGCCAGTCCCCTAAGCCACGTGCTCCCTCCCAGAAACATAACATGTTAACAGCTAGCAGCAGCCTTGGAGATCATTCTGTCCAACGATGTCATCTATTTTCTCTTATTGTGGCCTACTGTACGTAACATAAAATTCACCATTTTAACCATTTTAAAGCATGCAACGCACAATGTCGTGTAACCACCACCTCTATCTAGCTCCTAACCTTTCCACAATGATGTCATTTTAGAGAAGAAATGACTCCCAGGTAGATAGGACATTAGCACCAGTGGGTCATCTGACTGGCAGATCATCCAAGGGGGTGGCCGTAGCTTGGGTTACCTGATGAGGGGACCTCATCGCCTCCAGGGCACCTCTCAGGCTGGGAAGGTTTTCTGCATGGCACGTCAGAGGCTGTTCTCCCTCTGGTGTCCATAGCCCACATCCCAACCCACCCTCAGAGCCTCACAGGATGGGTCTGTCTTCTCTTCTCCGTGACAGCCTCTCACCTTCCTTACTGAATGACTAACCATTCCCCTTCCTTCCTGAATCCCAATTAATAACCTCAGGATGAAAAGGGCCCTCAAAGCCACAGATATTTTCATGGACTCAAAACCACAAATTCAGGCAGAAGTGGTTTTACTCAACTGGAAGAAGGCAGTAAAGATATGGCTGATACATAAGAGGAAATAAAACAAGGAGAAATGGTTATTCTGCTGGAGATAATTCCAATTATCACACTGAGATCCAAGTTATCACAAATACTGTAAAATCCTGTTTTTACCTAATAGCATTTTAATGGAAAAGTCAGACTTATGAAATAGAAGTGACTGGCAAAGAAAATATAAATCCAGCTTACTTGGGGTCCTTTGGGGTATTTTTTCTTAAATTGAATTTGGTGTGTCCTTGATTCATTAAAATAGGAGAAAGAATCCTGGAATGTTTTATCTATTATTGTCTTTCAAATAAAATGGAATTTTGTTTTATTAAAACTCTTGTGAAAAACCACCTACCACTATTTTGCCTGGAAAGCCTACTGTTAAGAATACTACTATTTATCAGGGACCCACTCTGTGTCAAGCAGCTTACTACCTATATATGATCTCACTGGTTTCTCAAAACAATGCTACAAGGTAGGTAGAAACTAGTCCCATTTTACAAATTAGGAACCTGAGGCCCAGAGAACCTTAATACTTGCCCAATGTCACAAATCAATGGTGGAATCAGAATTTTTACTCCAGACTGTCTCACTACACACTCAAGGCTTAGCTCACTATGTAGCTCTTGTCCTAATTTGATTTAAATCAAACCAAAGACTTTTCTTCTGATGTACAAA